TTAATGTGAAAACAATCCTTCAGAAACAAAACGGTTGGGAATGAGAAAGAGAGAGAGAGAGAGAAAGAGAGAGAGAGAGAGAGAGAGAGAGAGAGAGAGAGAGAGAGAGAGAGAGAATCGTAAATGGTAAGGTATTGGTAAGGTTGTTGGGGATGAGTATCACTGTACATTCCATAATACGTTATTGAAATACCTTGATATAGAACGCATTAAAATAGCCAAACAATACGCATAATTCATCAATAAAACCAACAAATTTACCAATTCAATATCCGTTTGTATTATACCAAGGTGTAAAACGCATTACAATACCTCTACACTGCAAATACAACTGTATTTACAATGACATTACGCATTACAATACAATACATTATAATGCAATTACAGTTACAATACATTAAAATACATTGATGTTATCAACACGGAAGAACCGGATACATTATATCGAAATACGTCGAATCGGCACTAAGCAGCAGTCGATGGAACGTTATTTAGCGCTCGTGCTGAGCCATATTATTCAATTTAATTTTTCTGAGAAATTCCATTTTTTCGTCGTTCTTTTGCAAATATGATTGAATTTGTTTGAAATGTGAAATTGTTTTCAAATAAAGAAAAATCTTTGAGTAATGAAAAAATAGTTTTATTTCATTTATTTATCACAATTTTTTTGATTTAAAGGTTTAACGATGATGGTGATAGTGATGATAACGATGATGACGATTATGATGATAAACTTAATTTTAGCCATTTTGGTGTAATTATTATTGTCATCACAACCATGATTAATATCTCCATCATCATTATCATTCCACTCATTCTTTGATATCCATCTCTATCTTAAGTAAAACAATGATATTGGTCATCATGGTCATCCTCCTCCTCCTCCTCCTTCTCCTCCTCCTCATCATCATCTTCATCATCATCATCATACTCATCATCTTCAGCATCATCATCGTTTTCATCATCGTCATCATCATCGTCATCTTTAGCAAGCATCATCATCGTTCTCATCATCACATTTCAAAGTTGTATGGTCGATTCAATTAACAATTAAATTGAACATTTATTTTGAATGGAGCACATGTCTTTTCTCATTTGATGTTTATTTCATTTATCTTTATTTCTCTTCTTCATTCTCTCTGTCTCTTTCTCTCTCTCTCTCTCTTTTTCTCTTTCTCTCTCTTTTTTTTTCTCTCTCTCTCTTTTTCTTCCTCTATCTACTATCTTCTTTTTTCCATCTTCAATTCTCCCAACGTCCTATGTTTACGATCTTTATATATTTAAATTAGTTTTTATCATCACAGTGCGTGTCCATTCATTTGCGTTTCTTCTTCCTCTGGGCGTTTCTTCTCACTGCGTAACGTTACGCGTACATCTGAGTTTGCCTTATTATGGTTAGATATGTAAGACAGTGTGCTTGTTTTTGTTTGTTTGTTCGTGTGCGTGCGTGTGTGTGCGTGCGTGTGTCTCTTTGTGTGCGTATGTAGGTTAGTGTTTTTTCACTTCACATACACACATGAATGAATGAATGAATGAATGACTGAAGGTACAGATGAATGAATAGATATAATTATATAATTGAATACGCGCGAAATAGACAGATAGACATGTCAAAAAAATATATGAAAAAGAATGCTGAATGAATGAATGAATGAATGAATGAATGAATGAATGAATGAATGAATGAATGAATGAATGAATGAATGAATGAATGAATGAATGAATAAACAAATAAATGAATGTAGGAAGCAATAAAAACATTAGTACTGAATCAGACGGCATTGATCTGATTGGTTAATAGACCACCTATATTGGCTGAATTGGTGATAATACATACATACATACATACATACATACATACATACATACATACATACATACATACATACATACATACATACATACATACATACATACATACATACATACATACAAACATACATACATACATACATACATATATACAAACATACATACATACATACATACATACATACATACATACATACATACATACATACATACATACATACATACATACATACATACATACATACATACATACAAACATACATACATACATACATACATACATATATACAAACATACATACATACATACATACATACATACATACATACATACATACATACATACATACATTGAGAAGAGACTCGATGTTGGAGGCTGTCAAACTTTTTTGCCCCAACATCTATAATTTTTGCCATTCTGCTTATGGCGGAGTCTCTTCCCTTGGCTACCACTCTTGGGTTGTAGAATCGTCCGAGGGGGTGCAGCAGGGTGATCCCCTTGGTCCTTTGTTGTTCGCACTAACTCTTCATCCACTCTTAGAGAAAGCTTCGTCCACCTTCGTTTGCGCTTATCTGGATGATATCAGCATAGCTTCGGACGGTCCAACTCTGGCCGATGGCTACGAATATTTGAAGCATAACTCCGCTGCAATTGGCTTAGAGTTAAACATTAAAAAATGCGAACTTCACTGCCAAAGTTTATTTCAGGTGCCACATGCGCTGGCTGAAATACCCAGAGTTGGTGCATCAGAACTGAGTTTTTTAGGCACACCCTTGGTCGAGGGCGATTATCAAATAAAGTTTCTTGACCAAAAGCTTGCGAAAATTAAACTTGATCCATATAGGTGTGTGTGTGACTGTGTGTGTTTGCGTGTGTGTGTGAGCGCGTATGTGCGTGTGCGTGCGTGCGTGTGTGTGTGGGGTGTGTTAATGGTTAAATAAAAAAATTACAAAATGCAAACAGATCTTAAACAAAATAAAGATCATTGACATTCGAGTTCTGCCTACATTACATACAACATACAACATAAAACATAATTTGTATTTTCTATCCAAGCCAAATGAAAACACAAATAAAGACAAGAGAAAAATGAAAAATAATAATAATAATAACAACTATAATAATAACTATAATAATAACATTAATAATAGCAATAATAATAACAATAATAACAGCCCTAACTTACATTCTTAAATTTGGCCACGTAGTTGAGTTCGAGTTTAAAAAATTTAAAATTTAAATGAGTTACATTATGAAGAAACAGATGATGTAGAAAATGTAGGTGAACTGTGTGGTTGAGAAGATGACGGAATTAAAAATTTGGGATATATAAAAAATGTGAACACCATAATGAAAATTTTTATGAGAAAAAGTGATAATGTTAAAAAAACATAATGAAAGGTATCATAAAGATAATAATATTAATGATATCTGTGCAGCTGTAATCAAGAGTAATGACATTAATGATAACGTGGCAAGAGATATGACGAAGATGAAATTAACGATAATTAAAACGACTATAACAACAATGGCGATGGTGATAACAACAACAACAAAGATATTATTGTCATTATATCTCATCATACTTTAATAACTCCTATGTCGTTTATCTATCTTTGTAACAAATCAACTAAACAAAACTAAATAACAACAACAGCCACAACAACAGCCACAACAACAACAACAAAAACAGCAACAACAACATATTTCACCGTCAACAAAACGCTCCATTCTCAGCTATGAAACCAACATCATTCCATCCTCAAGACCCCAAAGTGTACTTACATATCAATAGCAATGACAATTACGTGGAACACTGTTAACAATTAAACATATTTGTGATTATAAAATAATGACAATGCATGCAAAAAGATAATATCCTATTGATAATATGGCCAAATCGCTAATGTTTCATCACTTTTAATGCTGTTTTAACATGAGCAATGTGACAAATTGATGTAATTTCAAATGTAAATCATTCTAGACTTTTTGATAATTGTAATATTAATATTTAACATTCATATGTATCAATAAGGCATTTAAATTTTAACAAGATCCTCCCAAAATCAAACTTGAAAAGGATAAAAATAATATCTCAAAAGCTTTCAAATTTCAAATTAATTCTTATCAAATTTAAGCCACGTCGTTTATTTTGACGCTTCAAACTTTCGGCGTGCGTGGCGTGAAACGACGCGTCACTACAGCCACACGACACAAAGACACCGTCGCAATAACTGGCGTCATTTATTTTCACACAAGAGTGATAGGCCTTATCTATCATTTAGCATTAAGTTGAAGTTGCTTTATTCTGTGCAAGTATGTGTTCAGTGTGTGTATGTGTTTGTGTGCGTGCGTGCGTGCGTACGTGTTTTTGCATGCTTGTATGTGCGTATTTTTTATGTTTGTATACGTCTGTGTTTATTTATTTATATTTTGGTGATTTTTGTATTTTTTATTGTGCCTGCATTCGAGTTTTCATGTACCAGATTTTTTTGGTATAAATCATTTTTATGCATACATGTATGTTTTAGTGTGTGTGTGTGTTGTCATGTGTGTGTGTGTGTGTGTGTGTGTGTGTGTGTGTGTGTGTGTGTGTGTGTGTGGTGTGTTTGTGTTTGTATAAACATAGTGCATGCGTTTGTTTCTTTTCTTGTAGGCTTCACTTTTACCGAAAATTGTAACATTTTTTTCTCGTTGCACGTTTGGATGTTATTCAATCATTCATTCAATTATAAAATTTTAATTGCTGTGTAAACTGATAAGTGCTTATGCTGTATCAATATTGCTTTAAAGTAAAACAAAATGATAAGGAAATAAGAAATAACAATGGTCTGATAAGATAACTTCAATGACGCGTGTGAAGATGACATCGGCGCAAATGACGTGTCAGAACGAACGCCACATGTGCTAATTTTCAGAAGCATCATCAGCATGGACGCACCACTTACGATCGCTTCAACCCTGCAAACATCGAACCCACTGGCAATCATTTTGTATAAATAGAAGTCGAAGAGTAGAGATAACTAACAGTTGTTTTATTTACCGACTTTTTCAAGTAAAAGTTGTTAAATACAATTTCGAATCAGTCTTATTCTCTTCAGGACAGGACGTTGATCTATCGAAAGAAAATGGTATCTATGAAGGCTGCAGTTTTGCTCTTGTGCTTCGGTTTCTCGATGAACCTGGCGATGAAATGTGACATGGCGTGCCAGTTCAACTACGATCCAGTCTGCGGCAGCGATGGTAGGACGTACAGCAACGAGTGCCAGCTTCAATCCTTGAATTGTGGAAAGGCTCTGAGGGTTGAAATGGTAATGAAAGGTGAGTGTGAAAAAGTGAAAGAATTGAGAGAGTGCGCCATTCCATGCTTCAGAATGTACGACCCTGTTTGCGGCAGTGATGGTGTGACGTACGGAAACGAATGTGAAATGAGAACTGAATCTTGTCTCAAGAAGCAGGAAATATCAATCGCACACGCAGGAGAGTGCCAAGCGCAACCGGAACTTGAGTCATGTGCCATTCCATGCCAGCCACTCAGACAGCCTGTCTGCGGTTCCGATGGAGTCACTTACTGGAACAAATGCGAGTTGGAAACTGAGAACTGCATGAAGAAAGCATCAGTGGAAGTGATGTACGATGGTGAATGTCTGGAGGATTGCAACATCCCCTGCCATTTCAACCTCGATCCGGTTTGCGCCGAAGATGGAGTCACCTACACAAACAAGTGCTACCTGGAGACAAGAAACTGCCTGGCCAAGGAATTCCTCAAGGTTGTTCACCAAGGGAGCTGTTGATTTGCAAACCGACGCTAACTTGAACATCGATGACATTATTTGGTTTAACGGACATTGAAATATTATGCATTATAAAATTATTATTAATTAAAATTAATTTTGTATTTTGAATAATGGTTGAGGTCGTTTAATTAGCTACACTCATAATGGTTGAAGATTTGTTTGAAATTGAAAAGCTTTAATTTAATGTGTTTTAATTGAATAAATATTTTGCAATAAAAAAAATTGTCATTTTAATTCAAGAAAAACCAATTTTAATTCAATTTAATGGTTTGAAAATAAACTCTGCATCAAAATAATTGAATTTTCATTCGCTGAACACTCAACGTCAAAGCAATTTACGAAACATATTTCAGTTTTCTAGAGAATAAATTAAAAAAAAGAGAGAGCTGCTTTCAAGCGTTTTACAATGAAATGGCAAAATATATTGATAGATCGTCCAAGCAATTATCATCATAATCGTCATCATCATCATAATCGTCGTCGTCGTCATCATCATCACCGTCGTAGTCGTCGTCATCATCATCATCATCATTTAGTCGCAATCATCATTGTCATCATCGTTACAATCATCATCAGCATCTTCAGTTGCAATCGTCATCATGGTTTCTACGGTCGCCAACGTGAAATTATTAACGAGTTACGCGAACGATAATGCACTCATGAAATATAGATCCGAACGAATGATTATGACGTTTTCAACATTAACAACAGGTGCAATCAATAATAATAATAATAATAATAATAATAATAATAATAATAATAATAATAGAAATAATAATAATAGAAATAATAATAATAGAAATAATAATATAATAATAGAAATGACAATAATAATGTTATAATAAACATTCCAAATCATACCAACAACACGCAAAACATACAACATCATTGATGCGATGCTGGATTGATAACGATAACGAATCCAATATCAGTCGGAGCAAATCATCAAATAAAAAAAAAACAATTAAAAAAACATTTTTAAAATAAATCAACGACCAAATGCTAACGTTGTATTAATAAAAACTTGCATCAACAAAACAAAACAAAACAACAATATCTTTTCAACAAAAAATAAAAATAATTAGAAATAAAAAAAAAGAAATAATAATAACCAAAATAATCGAGGTAAAATTTTTTTTTAGGGTACGCACACACATTCAGGATTAGGAAATGAGATCTCACTCATCCAATGTATGACAACTGCAATGGAATCGCCAAATAAACCGTTACCTAATTCTATCTGCCTAGATTGTTAATGGGCAAAACAACGCACACACGCACAGAAACACACACACATACACACACATAACCCACAAATACACACACGCACACACATCAATCACGCACACGTACGATTATAAATTTTAAAATATATATCAAAATACAATATCAACAAGCCTACACTCATGGCTTAATTGAAAATAATTATTATTATACAAAGTAGACTTATACATGCATACCTGTGGACATTTATCACTACATCCTTACGTGTGAATGTGTTTGTGTGTGTGTTAGTATATGCGTTTAAATGTGTGTGTGTGTGTGCACGTACGTGTGTGTGTTTGTGTGTGTGTGTGCACCCGCAAGTAACGCGCGTGTAATTTTGTTTACGTTCATGTTATCGTTTTTAACTGCTTTCCTGGAAGAGCTTATTGTTTTTATTGAGAAATCCATATCGTTGTTGTTGTCGTCATCGTTGCTCTGGATGTTTTCCATCATTCCAGCATTATCATCATTTCATCATTTTCATCATCATCGTCGTCGTCATCTATTGTCATCATTATCTTAAAACATAACCGCCGACAAAAAATGTTTTCAATGCCATCATCATCTCAGACATCAACATTGTCATTGTTTTATCGCCATAATTGTCATCATCACTATCTATATC